ATCTTTGTTTTATTTTTCTTTCCCTCTGAACATTCTCTTCCAGGAATAGTCAAGATCCTGCTTTGTACTTGTTATATTCTGCCTAATAAGTGTTCAGTAGCAGGGAGTTCAGCTGATGCTTAAAACACTCTGGTGAGAACAGGTGAAGCAACAAATAATTGTTTCCCTCCATCTCTGTCTAGTACATAACAAAAATAATAGATGACAGGCATATGACATCATCTAAACTTAGGGAAGTGGTAAGAAAACAAACTTTTGTTTGAAGAAGTATGGGGGCTTAAATTAGGGATGGCTGGAAAATGAACATGTTTTTCTGATAATGCTGTCAGTTTCAGTTCAGTTGCAGGCCAGATGTTTAGAACAGTCTGGTTTTATGGTTTGTTAAGGGGAATGTTTAAAACATCTCTATTTTGAGAAGAGTAAAACTAGACTTCAGTTAGAGGCATGCAAATGGGACTGCCTCTGTTCCTGTTCCTCTCGAGTCTTTGCACTGCTTTAGTACTGTGTCTAATGTTCTTTTTGGGGATTTTCTTGCTATTTACTTGCACACTTTAAGTCTGTAGAAGTAGGTGCAAAGACTGTGCTTTTATCACTAATCAAGCAGTTTGTCCAGTGATGTTTGTCTCCTGTGCTGCTGTGTTAGTCTAGTCATGTGGCAATGATATCTGTAGGGTTTGTATGCTTCAGTGGTAGGGTTCATTTGTGTAACTGCCAATAAGACTTCACAACATGACACAACTCTTTGAAGTCCTTGATAATCTTTTTTTTATTGACTGATTGGGTGAAGAATTTGGGTGCAGAATGAATAAGTGGCCATCAAACCCTCTTTCTCTTTTTCATTGCTGGGAAGATCATGTCCTGGTTATTATAGGAGAGTCCTAAAAGGAAATACTGAGTTTTTGTTCAGTGGTCTGTGGGCTAATTCTTAATGAGACTGTGTATGCCACTTTTCCTCCTCCTTTTAAATTGAAACATCTATTTTGTCTCACCACTTGTCTGATTTCTGTCTTCTGTGAAATGGCTGCATTTCTTTGGGATGGTTTTGACTGTACTCAAAAGAGTGTGCTTGGGTGCAGAGGTGTAGGAGGCTGTAGAATAGCTCATAGGATCTCTGACTAAAAGAGAAAAATGGTGTTAAAGAGTTTCTGCTAAAACATTCATGTACTTTAAAAATAACTAGTAAGCTTAGCCAAGAAACTTCTTCTGGTAAATAAAACGTTCTAATATTTTCCCCTGGTTCATAGTGTAAGATGGAGAGATTCTTAATTATATATAAGTCTGCAAGGTCCATATTAGCTGCTTTGTTGATGAGAGCTACAGAACAATAAAATAAGTGTAGCTTTGTGCTTCACATAAAATGGGAAGGAAGAGTTGTGCTGTTCAATTTGATTTTGCATTAAGGAGAGAGTTCAAGTTTCAGTGACCTAGATCTTTTATTGTTTTTGCCATTTAAGAAAGGAAGGTATTCTTTGTGAACTTCTCTGCAGGAGAGGTGATGTATGAGCACAAGTAACACATTGTGTCTTTATTTCAGTACTGAAGACTTGAATTATGCTATTAATCCTGTGTGTTACACAACTCTGCCTTTTTTTCCAAATACCTTCTAAACACCTGAACCATTTTTTTAGGATCTGATTTGATGCAATCTGCCAGAATAGTTCTCTTGACAGTTCCATTATTAGAACTGAAGTTCCATGTAGCAGAAATAATAGAATACTCTTTGTGTTTAGATGAAGACGATGACTTTGTCAGTAAAAGAGTTTCCCTGAAACCAAAGGAGAATGGGACGTCAGCGACTGGTTGTCCAGGAGGAAGTGCTGTTGGGAAGGAAAGTGTAAAACGACAAGCAAAAAACAAACCACTGTCTCTAGTGAAACAGACTCCCACCTCTGCACTGGATTACTTCGGGACAAGTAGTGTCCAGAGATCGGAAAAGAAACTGGTAGCAAGTAAAAGGAAAGAAGTGAGTACTGATGATGTTCCTCCAGGCTGCTGGTGTGTCTGGCAGGTCAAAATGGTCTCACTAATGATTGCAATGAAATACTTAACTATTTGTCCTACTTAATGCTACTTATTTGTGGTCACTCAAGCAGAAGTTCAGTTCTGATACTGGTCTGCATATCAGTTCCTCCAGTGCAAGTTTAGAATTGCATTTCCATGTTTCATAAGATAGCACAAAGTAGTGTTTTCTCTATTGCTTCTTCTCAAGTGACTCTTCTTGGAATAAAATATTATATTAGTGGGTGGATGGGGATAGCTTGTATTTGAGGGTGCAGGGGAAGGAGGTTGTTTTCCCAAGCTTGATGGCACATATATTCATGGAATAACAAAGCTTCAAGTCAAGTTTGGAGGAAATTAAAAATTCACATTGTAGTTACTGATTTATCTTTCAAGTGTGCCAACTGTGGTAGCTTCAGAGATGTTCAGCATTGTTTGAATAAATGAGATGTTTATATTATAGCATGGTTTTCATCTGAATAATAAAATCTCTTGAAAATAGCCTGTGTTTAGGTTAGAGAGCTAGCAATAATGTTGCATGTCTAATTCCCAGTCCTTTTCTAGAAGTACACATTGAATTATTACAACTGACAAAGTAATGGGGGAACTGAACCATTTGGTCTTTTTTTTCTTAAATACAGCCTTCACAAAGCAGAGACAGCACTCTAGATGATGAGGCCATTGCTAGGCAACTGCAGCTTGAAGAAGATTCAGAGGTAAAAGCTCTATAAATTTGCTGCTTTATGTCAAGAGCAGTTTGTTTAACCTAAAATTGTCATTCCTTAAGAAATTAAGATTGACTTTTCAGATGTGCTGTAATTAAGTGTAATAAAATTCATCTGTGTACTTAACTTTTGCACATATGTGCAAACATAGTCACACAGTTATTTTTATGAGTCTTTCAGTTACGTAAATAGGACATGTCACTTAATCTGTTTCCTCTCTATCCAGACTTTCTCTACCTGTGCAGTTGATGTGCCTATAATAATCCTGCCATTCACACGGAGTTCACTTTCTGCTTCCTCATATTGTGATAGTGGTTTGGTTTTTTCATTCCCTGGAGTGAAAAATGAAAAGCCATTGCCATCCATGATTTGTTTCACTTGTCTTCTGGATTTTCTTATAGTTGAGAAAAATGTGAATGACCTTTACATGTCTTAAACTTTCCTGTTTGAATCAGTACTAATAGGAGGGAAAGGTACACTTGTCATATGTATTTACCTGTGTTTGGGAAAATTTGATTTCCCATATATTGGAAATCTTGAGTAGTGCTTGAAATATATATATTGTACACACAAATTACACCTCTGAAGGTCAAGAATGGGATTAAATGGATTAACCTGTTAAAAAGTTAAACCACCTGTCAGGAAAATGAAGATGTCTTTGATTTAAACTCATCTATAACACTCACACTGTCTGTATGTGTCATCAAGATACTTTATATCAGTATAATTGTAAAAAACCCAAACTGACTTTGGTTTTTTTACAATTAACAAATAACTTTCACAGGTTCCATGTGCACTCTTTGTTCTTACTGGTTCTTCTGTAAAAGCATATTTGTTTCCCCAAAGTAAACAGAACTGGCAACAAGAGCAGGGCTAAGAGTAGTAGTTAAATTCTTCAAAACTGCCTTTTTTTTTTTTAATAGCAGTAGACAAGAATAAAACATTCATTCTGGAAACATCATAGTTTGTAGCAGGCATTGTTCTTGTCTTCTGGGGCTGCTTTTGGAAGTTTTCTAAAGCCAACAGATTACATCTGTGTGCAGACTGGTTGTTGTGAGATGCTGCCTCCAAGTTTTGATTATTTAAAAGAAAAGGGTGCACAACAGTAAAAAATATGGAAGAATAAAAAACCTCTTTAAAAACAGCTCATGCAAACATATTAATGTTTCTAGTGCAACAAATTCAGGCTTCTTTTTCTCACTAGGCTTCACTAGTCTTGATTTTTGGGGAAAACAAGTCATTGTCCAGTGCCGTTTTCAGAATTTATTTGCCTCTGGTAGGATACCCTGTTTCCAGCTACGTGCTGACTTGTTTTAGGTAAACCTTTTGTCTTGAACAGCAAATAGAGTATTTTAAAAATGTGCTAGAATTAGAACTTGTTAGATATGAGGCTAAAAATGTTTTTCTTTTTCAGCTGGAGAGACAGCTGCATGAGGATGAAGAATTTGCTAGAACTTTGGCCATGTTGGATGAAACACCACAGAAGAAAAAGGTTGAATTTCTTTTAAACTTTAGCTTTTAGAAGTTGCATTGCTGGGACTGTTCTCATTTAGACACCTTTGTTCTGAGACTTCTATAGGTGTTTTCATGAAAATAACTAAGTGCCACATCCAGTCTCACCTTGAAAACCTCCAGGGGTGGTGAATCCACCACCTCCCTGGGCAGCAAATTCCAATGTCTGAGCACTCTCTCTGTAAAGAATCTCTTCCTAATGTCCAACCTAACCCTCCCCTGGCAGAGCTTGAGGCAAATGAGTCAGTGGCACAAGTTGCTGAAAAGGGATGAAAAGGAAGGACAGAAAGAAACAGGAAGAACACTCTCCCAGCTTTGAGGGAAGGAGGAGTGGGCAGGGATCTTGAGAGTTTTGAGACTAATCCCAGTGATGGGAATCTTTCAAGTTCACACAACTTGTGGTGTGAGGCACAGTGAAATATTTGCTGGTGCTCTTAGAATTTAGGTTTGATAATTTGAATATAGCAAGTAGTATAGTACTTCTAGACCAATCAGTCAACCAGTGAGGATTGAAATTTATTGTAACCTGGAAGTTTGTCTGGCCTTTGACTTGAAATTTATGTGCATGGCTGAGTGCAGAATTTGCTCATCACCTGCCTTTGATAGAGGCTGCGTTCTGACTTGTGGTAGGGATCAGCTTTGTTAGATGTTGTTAAATCTGTTGTTCTTAACAAGGAAACTGCAGGATCTGCACTTTATGGTCCAGATCCTACAGGACATGCTTCCCTGACTTTGGCATTGTGTGTTTGTTCAGGCTCGGAAGGATGCAGAAGGAGAGCAAACAGTATTGAGCATCAACAGCAGTTCTAACGTGACTGAAAGATCTAAGCAGTCAGAAGGAGGTAGGATACAGAAAATAAAAAACATACCAATTTACAGTATTCATGAAATACATTTTTATGTATGTGCTCTTTTCCCTCTGCCTCCTTTCAAGTGGAAGCAACAGACTCAACAGGTGAAGCAAAGAATTACACTGAGAAGCCACAAACTAAATCTGACCAGTCAAAAAGCTTTTGTTTATCCCCACAATCATCTGATGGTAAGACAAGAAGAGAGTTGGCAGAGAAGCCCTTGCCTTTGAAAGCTGGCTCTAGGCTCGTGTCTCCGAAAAAAAAAGAGGAGATTGCTGAAAAGGAAAGAGGTGCTCAGAATTCAGTATCAAAAGAAAAAACTGCTTCAGGGAAAGAAGAGAAGACATCACCAAAGAAGGAGAAAATTTCTCCCAAGAAATCTGAGGTAGGAGCTGTCAAAATTAAGTTAGTGTCTTTGTGGAGTTTGCAGGAAAATAGTTTTAATTTTTTATAGTTTGTGTCACTGTTGTAACTTGGTACTTTGCATGTTAATGCATTAGAACCAAGTGTTTTAAAACACTTCAACTTGCTTTTCCTTTGGTGCATGAAGATGTCCTAAACTGTGATACTTGAGTTTATCTTGTTGTTTTTATTTATCTGTGTTTTGTTGGTTTTTTTAAATCTCCTGCCCCAGTCTGTAAGTCCTGAGGACTCTGAAAAGAAGAGAACCAATTACCAAGCCTACCGAAGCTTCCTGAATCGTGAGGGCCCAAAAGCTTTGGGTTCCAAGGAGATACCTCAGGTGAGTTTGGCCACAGCAGAATTCTAGATGTAGGAGTGAAGTGTCATAGACTTACTCCTATGAGTAGTCTAACAAATATCAACTAAACTGTTTAAAAACTGGTATTTTTGTCCAATAGGAAGCATGTGTTGGGAAAAGCTAAATTGTAGTGCAAAGCAGTGACAATGTAAGGAAGTATACTAAGAAATTAAATTCAGAACTTGGTTATGAAGCTGTGTTGGTTAAAAATAGTCAATGGTCTTGAAGATTGCTGCCACTCATTTGGCTGACATGCTGTGTGTGAAGCAGAGAGTGCCATGAGTATGATTGGTCAGGTGAAGAATGTGTGAAGTTTTCTTGGTACCTGTCCCTGTTAATGGCTTTTGAACTTTCAGAGCTATTACCTAGGTAGGTATGATAGGCTTATTTTTAAAGTTTTATAGGGAACTTGACATGATAGAGGGCTGAAAAAGCTGATGGTGAAGAGGTATTTGGTAAAATTGCCTCAGGTAATGGCATTTTCTGCAATGCTCTGGTTCTCAGGGAGCTGAAAACTGCTTGGAAGGCCTGACATTCGTAATTACAGGAGTTCTGGAGTGTATTGAGAGAGACGAGGCCAAGTCTCTGATTGAACGTTATGGAGGAAAAGTAACTGGCAATGTCAGCAAGAAGACAAACTATCTGGTTGTGGGGAGAGACTGTGGCCAGTCCAAGTGTGAAAAGGTGAGAGTGTTCCTGTGCTGGAGCCAAGTCCCAGTGGAACTGAATTGTTCCTGCTGCAACTAGGTACTTTGAATCTCCTGCCAGCAGGAAGCAGTACTACCAATGTAGTGCATCTTTAAAAGGAAGGCTTTGCTCTGTTCTTATTTATGTGCATACCTGCACACATATAT